GCAAGGGTAGACATCCCATGAGTGCCAGCCCCGCCCGAGCTGCTGTGACCAGGGTTCCACCCGAAGATGGAGTGCAGGGTGTCAGCCAGGGCGGCAGCCACCTGAAGGTTTCACTGGGGCCAGCAGATTCGCTTTAGTGGAGGTTTCTGGTGGGAGAGCTCTCTCGAAAGGGCTGCGGAGTGTCCTTGCAACATGGTGGCTGGCTTCCTCCAACACTAACGATGGCGGTGGGGCATGGGGGACTCAGGTGGAAGCTACCTGTTTTATACATGGGCCTTGGAAATCACGTGGCATCACTTCGTTTTGTTCATTGGAAGAGAGCTGTAAGTCTGGCACACATTCAAGGGGAAGAGAATAAGGCTCCATCTTTTGAAAGAAAAAGTATCAAAAGAGTGTAATTTATTTAAAAACTTCCAGAGCGTTCACGAAACCGCTAGCTTTTTAAACATGTATTAGGAGACAGGGGTAGCGGGAGGGTGGGGAAGGACACACACACCAAGGCGCACTTCCAAAATGACAATGTATTTCACAGATTAATAACGTTAAGACATCAAAACAGAAACAACACAGGGAAACTGAATGGCTTGGAAAATTTTCCCTTGATCCAAACAGTTCATGGAAATGTCTTTTTTTTTATTTTTTCAAATGTCCTCACACAGAGCAAGGACAGTAAGAGAAAAATTCCCAAGGCCGTTTTCAAACCAAGGACCTACATGGAGATAATTTGTTTTTCTAATAAAATTTCTGTTATTATACTCTTTACTAATTAATACTGATAAAGCTTATATGTAAAAATGATAAATACATTTAAGAGTAAGACCCTCCACCATTCTCAGCCATCTTTCAAATCACTGGGGAAGGGGTATTGGGAATCTCAAGACAGAAATACAGAAATGCTTCTTAAACCTCTAAAGAACATCAATGAGTTTCATGTCACTTAAGCACTGTGAGAAAACAAGAGAATGCTGAAAACACACTGGGAAACAGACACCAGGGTTCAGCCTCCTGTGGCTTCTCTGGACGAGACCGAAAGCCCTCGGATGGGAACAGCCTGGATTCCACTGAGCACGTATCATGGAAAGATCTGCACTACCGCTGTTTTACTCATCTAGCTATTTTTTTTTTTGAGAATTAAATGTCACAGTGCTGCCCACACAAGCTGACCAGAAGCCCGGTGTGCTACAGCCGTCGGCGACTACACAAACTCCGTCTCCAGCTGTCCGTGAGACCTGGGTGGGTCCCCACATTTCCAGGCCATCTGGGAACCACTGAAGTCATCCCAGGCATCACACTGCTGGAGGTTACTCTTGCTCAAGTCGTTCATGAATATTCATGATGAGTGAATATTTAACAGCCATTCATAGAGAGCTTCTCAGGGACTTATCCAGCCAACAAATGGCAATTCATCCCACACTTGCTGGGCCCCTGTCATGTGTCAGGTAGACGACAGGTACAGAGTAGCTGCGAACAGTGAAGCAGGAGTCAGCTCGGCTCTCGTTCCATGACTTGCTGGGTGTGGAGTCTTGGTCAAGTTAATCTGGCTCTTTAAACTTCAGCCACATTAGCTACAAAATGGGGATAAGGAGACCTAGCTCATCAGCACGTGCGGCTTAGTGTAGTACAGCTACATCAGGCTCCTCTCTTCATTTCCCTCTTTGTACCCTGGAAACTCTCCTTTACAGCCTTTTCCAGACCCTAGTTATAAGTTCTCCCTGGTTTGATGATCTGATCAACATCTCTCTCCCACTGCACCATAAAATTCACGAAGGCAGAGAAGCTGTCTCATCTGTCCAATACACCTACACCCAGGACAGCAGTATGTAACAGGTGCTCAACCAATATCTGTTGAACAAACTAAATTATGTTGATAAACACACAAAATGCAAAAATGAAAGACACAGGACCAGCCCTCATCAAGGAGTTGAGAGGCTGGTACAACAATTCTTAATTTGAGCTGCCCGTTAGAATCGCCTGGGGAGGAGTTTTATTTTAATTCCAGTGCCTGGGCCCCGCTGTGGAATAGCTCCTGGCGTGCGGACCCGAGATTCCCTACTTTTGTGTTTTCAGAGTTCTCTGGCTGAGTCTAAGGAACAGCCAGGGTGAGAGTCACTGGTCGAAAGCAAGAGAGACCAGTCGGCAATTATAATACAGAGGGATGTATGTTCTCCCACAGTAGGAAGGAAATTTCCTGTAACGACGGAAGTCTCCTGTGTCTGCACTGTCCAGTGTCACGGAGCTGGTCACATGAGGCCAATAAGCTCTCAAGAGGAGGCTATTTAAGACCGAGGACCTGAATTTTAGATTTTATTTTATGTTAATGTTAATTTAAATTTCAAAAGCCATATGTGACAAGAAGCTACTCTATTAGATAACGCAGAACTGAGTGGAGGACACAGGAGAACCAATCCAGGTGAGCGAGGGGTGGGGTGCTGGAGGCGGGGAGAGGGGAGCAAAGGGCACTTGGCCATGGCCTCCGACCACGAGGAGAGAACAGTCTAACGGAGGAAAAGGCAACCGGACTCTCCATCTTCCACACACGCGGGGACCACCCTTCCCTCCCGCCACATCCAGGGCAGCTGGGACCAAGGAAACCCTTTAAAAAACGAGACGAAGCACATCCCCCAAGTCAAAGAGCCTTTGTGCGAGCTGCTAAATGATGCGGTAATGGTGGCAAAGGAAGGAAATGTGTCTTGAGCAAGGACATTTGGGAAACAGAGAGTCGCACGGAGCAGAGAAAATAGGGCAGCGCCTCACAGCTGCACATCAGGGTCTCCCTTCTGTGGCTCGCGAGCTGAGCCTGGAGCATAAACCATGACGTGATGGAGAACCGATGCCTTTTCCTGGGGCAGATAACGGCTCACTGAGCTCTTTATAAAATCAGACTGGCCCAATGTTATCTGTCGAACGGCGGAAGTAATACAGAGAAGAGACCCGTGCTATTGTTCTGGCTTCCATTTTCTCTCACTTACCATGTGTTAAGCACCTACTGTGTGGCAGGAATTTTGTTAGGGGCTTTAAACGCGACCTCATTTTGTCCTGACAACACTTTGCAAATTATTTATTATAGTCTCATTTTATGGTGAAGCAATTTAAGATTCATGGAAGTTAAATGATTTACTTGAGTTTAATGAGTGGTGATAAAGTTAAGATTCAAACTCAGATCTGTACTTCCCGAGTTTCCTTTTATATAAAGACTACATTCTATTGTATAGATATATTATTCCTTACTTAACAAATTCCTATTTATCTTGTTTTTCCAAATCATAATCGATGCTTCAAGGAACTTAGTTGTATATAAATTTTAAATATATTTTTATTAGTGCATCATTTACATACGTACGAAGTTATACAAATCCTAAGTGTAGCATTTGATGGATTATCAAAAAGTAGACTTAACCATTTAATCATATCCCCAAATCAAGAAACAGAATAACAGCTCCTCAGAAGCTCCCCTTGAGTCACCTGCTAGCGATTTACTCACTCACCTTCTCCAAAAGCTAATATCTAACCTACCACACTGTGAGAGTTCATTAAAATGAAGCTAAGACAGAAGTTAAAATGAGGTACATAATTTAGGCTAAGACTAATATAACATTTGGTTACTACCTAACTAGATAACTATCATTTATCTACCTTAATTAGAAGTTAGCATTTTATTGGCTATGAAGACATTAGAGAGAGACATCGAGAAACCAAGGTATAAAAAGTGTCACCAGTGAAGACTGCAGAGTGTTGTGGGCCTAGAGGCTTTAAAGAAGGCAGAGACTATTAGGGCTCCTAACGGCTCAGGGAGCCTATTGATCCCCAGCTCCGAAAAAGGGAGAAAGGCCTTGTTCAGTGTTCCTTTAGCTCTATTAATTTTATGACAATTATGAATATAAATATAAATAAAATATGAAATTTATATAAATGTATGGCATTTACTGAACACCTACGAGGTGGTCGGTCCTTTACAGAGATCAGCTCATTGAGCCCCTTTAACACCTCATATTAATACCGGGATCCCCGTTTTATAGGGGAGAAAACGGACGTTCAAAAAGGGAAGTAACCAGCTCAAGGCCACGTCACTAGGAAGGCGCAGAGCGAGGACGCAAACCCACATCTGTCCAATGCGCAAGCCTGAGCCCTTTGCATCAGACCCCGCGGCCTTCCTCGGTTTTCCGTTGTTACAGTCCACGAGTTCCTTAGAGACTGACCTCTGGGTAAGTGAGCTGTTGCTTCAACAATAACAAAAGATGTGAGTCAGAGACATTGCGACTCGTTTTCTGGTTCTGAGCCTCTCCTTCCCTGGGGCGCTGGAACCTATCGTTTCTTGTGGTTCCCCATTGTTTATCTTAATTTGGTTTATTTCTTCTTGTCCATGGACATCGTCCTTTTGTCTCCAAGATGACACAATCACCAGATTAGAGTTAAAACATTGAGTTACCCGGGTAACTGGCATGCCCTGGGCCACAAGACAATTCTAGTTGGCAGTCTGTCCAGATCTCGGTGTAACTGTGCTTGCCTCTTCCCCTCTCTATGCTTGTCACCGATACTGATTTTTAAATGTGTACAGACACACTCCAGAAAGAAGATCCGAAGCGTTTAACTGAGACCACGGAATTACAGACGGACCAGCTACACAAAGAGATTTTAAATATCTCTATGTCACTTGTGGCAAAATTACCTATAGTTCTAAAAAGTGTTCTTCTTTTTCAATTACAGTTAACATTTAATATCATATTAGTTTCCAGTGTACAACGTGTATATCCCACGAAGTGATCTCCCATCTACTACGTTTTTAAATGTAGAATAAAACCCACCGCAACTAATAATTTTTCTTCTTTTTATTTTGGAAATAATAACAGGTTTTAGCAAAGAGAAGAGACAGGAAAAAAACTGAATTTTTTTGACCTACTGATTTTTCTATTTGTATCAAGCCTTCCATAAACTCGGCACCATACCGATAAGAGAGAAAAGGTTATACATAATTCATGTTATCTGCTTTGTTAAGTACTTACCTTGACCGGAATTATATATTGCTTTCACAGACTTCTTTACTTTCTGTAAGGCTGTTCTATCTTGGTCTAGAGCCTAAAAGAGAAAAACAAGGCAGGGGAGAAGATGTTGAAAAATCTTGGTACGTTAAAAAATAAAAACTCATTCGTAACTGCATTAGTTTTGCTGAGCACCACAGCAACAAGAAACTGACACGTTTATTAACAATGAGCTGTTTCAGAGGCTGAAAAAGGCAGGATATGAGTAGTTTTGTTTTGGGGATAAATGCAGAGTCATTCCACCAAGCTCAGTGCTGAGTGAAGTGGATAAACGTGGTTGCGAGTCAGTTATCATCCTAAGCTACGCACAGGAGAGAAAATACAAGACAGCTGAGAAATCTTAAGACAAGCTTCCTGATGACCTGGGAAGGGATTGATAGGGACCCAGCAAGAAAACACATCTTACCACCTAATGGTAATTTCAGCCAGAAAGAAAATAACTTAAGGGTTTGTTAACAAGTAAGAGTGACCTGAAGAGCTTTCACGATACTTTTAAATTTGAGGATCCCTTTTAGCGTTAAAAAAAATTTTTAGGACCTAATGCCAGTTGTATTTTAAAATTCTGTTTACTAAAAAAGCACAGCTTGGAAAATGGTACCCATGATGCTGGTAATGCTTTTGATTTCTTACATGATGCATCAACACATCAATCTACTTGTGTTAAAGTAGGGGGCTTCTAGGAGACTGTCATTGTCGATTCTTAATCCAGGTAACAGATACACAATTGCATTCCGTTTGTGAAAATTCATCAAACTGTGCACTTAGGATGTGTACTCTTTCCATAATGTGCATTACACTTCAAAAGTAAGTTTAAAAAGGGTTGTATCAATGTAGATATACATATGGCATGCGGATCTAACTTCTTAAAAAAACTTTTAGCTCCTCTCTGCTTCCTCAAGAAGGTCAAGGACCCACAGGCTAGGAGTCTCCCCGCACGGTGTCAAGATTTGGAGGGCACGAGCGGTAACAGCAGTAATAAACTTGTGTATATAAATTTAAAAACAGTATATGTACACTACCACCATTACATCATCTAAACCTCAAAACTTCAGATGAGAAATCTGAAGCCCAAAGAGGGTAAGTACTTCCCTCGCCGAAGATCACGAAGGGAGTTGAAAGGGATAAAGGCAACAGCAGTGGGCATCTCGCATTCCCCTTCTGCAAAACGGTCTCTCCTCACGCTGGAAACGTGTGGTTCCACTGGGCGCTGCCCTTTCCTTTGGTTTCTGTTCTCTGGACACCGATGGCTGGCTAAGTGGGCACCTGACCCGTGCTGGGCTCAGGGTCCTTCCTAGGATTTCTGGGCTTGGGAACAGAGATCACGACATGCAGTCCCTTTTTGGTGAGGTGAGCCCGGGGACCGCCAGCGGTTCTGTTTCCGGCTGTGCAAAAAGGACCTGACCAGACGGATGATGTGAAGAGACAGGAAGCACTAGAGACAAGAGAGGGCCCTGGGCATCTGAGTTCTTGCTTCTAGCTGTCCCCAAGGTATATGTCACTGCTATCCTCCCTGTAGACTGAGTCCACAAGACAATAAATTTCTTTGGTTCCAAGCTAGTTGAAGTTGGGATTCTATCACTTGCAACCCAAGAACTCCAGTTTACCTCGCGCTTACTACACCAGACACAGGTTGGGTATAGAAGATGTACAAGTAGATAAGAGAGTCTGCTTTCACTATCTTATCTGTTTGCATCTCATCTTGATAAAACCTCTGAAGTAGCATCTACATTTTTCAGATAAGAAAATGTGGTAGTCCTTCAATAAATGTGTGTAGGGAGGGAGGTAAAGATAAACCAACTTGCCCAAAGCCACAGAGCCAGAAAGTGCTAAAGTCACATTTCACACCAATGTCTGCCAAATCACAAATCAAACGGGAAGGTGGGATAAAAACCAGTTCCCAGACTGCAAGTCTAAGGCAGGATTCTGTCACAGCCATTTCCTACCTGCATCTCTATTTAATTTTCTTTACATCCATTCGCATCCTGCTAAAATATAAATACACTGTAAAAGCTACCATAAAGAAAACCAGGATCACTTACCATTAATAGAAAATACCCTAAAAATTACCGTGTGTTTCTAACTATATAAAATGATCACCTGCTGAGCACCTCAAATCCTCTGACATAACTCCAGGGATCCTGCACTTAAGAAACTAATGTTTTATATGACAGTTTCAGGGAAGAGACAAAGTTTGAGTTATTTCAAAGATCTGAGATTTGTACTTTAGAGAGAAGAGGAAGGATAATTAACATTTTGAATGCTTAGTATGAACCATAAAGGGTGTTGAGATTTACATAGATCATATCACTTAATTCTCACAAAAAACCCTCTGAAATAAGTCCTATTATTAAATTCATTTTATAGACGAGGAAACAGAGGCTCAGAAAGTTTAACTTGCCCAGTGCGGCAGAGAAGGAATATACCAGCCCAGGTCTTGATAAGTGACGTAACCACAGCCCAGCGCTGCACTCCCGTGGTATTTGAAACTGAAGAGACTCTTATCTGAAGCTGGGGGGGGTGGGGGACTGTCACCAATTTTCAGAGACAAATCCGAGTTAAGAGATCACAGGACATTTAGGTTGCTAGGAGGGCGTGAGGGGAGAGAAAGTATTGCAAATATGTGCAAATAAGCACAGATTTAAGAGGTCGAATCCTTCGATGATTTGCTTTTGTGGCAAGGACATTTAAAAAATAATCTTAATAATAGCCATCGTTTACTTTTTACACACATTACTGCCATCTTTTTTTCTTCTCATGAAAAACCCTGGGCTTTAGAGAAGTAAAGCAGCTCTCTAAGCATCACACACAACGTTGGAGAAGAACCAGCATCTGCGTCTTCAACTCGCCACCTACCCATTCTAGAAGGCACACCCATGTTTCCCCTGCAGCGTATCATATAATTATTTTTGAGAAGGAAAAAAAGATCTGCTTCTGGAAGAAAACAACGTATCAGTTGAGCTTAGGGACAGGTCTTCTCAAAGGGAAACTAACGCGTGGGCATCGACACCCACGCACACGGAGAGTTAGCGACTCCAGAGGGCACAGGCAAAGCGACTTCTGTGAGACTAGCGATCTGCTTCCTCACTCCCCATCCCCGGGAAAAGTCTCGGAATTTATGTTGAATTTTTACCAACTCACCTATAAACCAATAGGGTGTGAAGTTCACATGCTTACTTTTAAAAGTTATTTAATAACATTCGCACTGGACAGCTACAGCCATCACAGTTAAGTCTGGGTGACACTTCTCTTTTTACACTCTAGTTACTTGGCCACTGGCAAAAAGAAGCCGAGTGAAATGGACTTTTAAGGGCTCTGTGTTTAAGGAGCCCAGGGACACTGTCGCTCCATCACACGAGACTCCCTCCAGACATAACACATGTCTGAACGTGCTACCAAGTGGCATTCCCTCCACTGCTCGGCAAGCAACACGGGCAGTGACAGCCTTCGAAATGTCGTATACGTAAAGTTAAAGAGAGGCAAAGAGCAAGGTGGCAGATGACGTGGGCTATAAAATTATTAGATCTCTCAACCCATTAACGGTATAACTGCCTGCATTTTTAACTGTCCGCATCTGAAGCTGAACTCAGGAGGGTGTGTGTGTGTGAGAGAGAGAGACAGAGAGAAGGAAGGAGGATGAAATAACAAATAAACAAATCCAGCAGACTATGCTTATCTCTAATAACAGAATAACATCTTCCCCGTTTAAAATTTTGGAATCCAGCAACTTCACATTCTCTACACTACTAAAGACTGGGGGTGTTAAGCACTTCCAACCTTGACTTTTATCTCATGCCTTTTCCCAGTAAGTCTGGGTCATTTGAATAGACAGAGAAGACACAGGCTGTCGCAAACCAGAGGGAGACCGCGGGAGAAACCAGGCTGGCGGAAGCGCTATGTGAGAGCTGGCGAGCCGAGGGTTCAGCAAAGTCACACAAACGGGTCATGATAAAAACTCCGTTAAGAGTCTGAGATCGCTGGGGTCGCACATGGAACCTTTTGCATCCCTCCAGGCCGAACGTGGCCCCTGCCCGTGTCCCAGCAGAGTGTGCCACAGACGTTCTCAGAGACTCAGAGGCATCCAGCCACCCTGTCTCCAGCCCGGGGCACTGGCATCAACTGGTCCCTCTGCGTCTTCCCATGAACAGGACTCTCGTGGAAGGTCTTGGATGGCTGGCTGGCTCTTTCTTCTTATAAGGCCTCAGGTTAAGGCCAAGAGGCCTTCTACTGCCAACCCAGAGCAGAGCACACTCTGAGTCCCCCCACCCCACGGTTACCCTCTAACACACTCTGCGCATGACCACGCCCTGGAATGCTCCTGTCTGTGACTTGTTTACTTTCACGGTACTTATCTCCCCCCACAGAAGAAAGCAACCTCCATGAAGACAGGGGCCTGGGTGTTACCTGCTCATGGCTGAACTCCCATCCCCAGTCCTAGCAGATGGTAGATGTTCAAAAACGCTTATGAAATGAAGTGGTAAATGACCGGATGACAGTGAATTTCTCAGTATTCTCAGTTTCACACAACAGAAAATCATGCAAAACAAGACTTGCCTTGAAAATGGTTGAATAAAATTAAGTTTTGAACTCAGAAAATGTGGCCCTCTGTAATTCTTCCCCTAATGGTTCTGAATAGCCAAAGTGTAAACGTATGTATAAATTGTTTAATAGGACAGAACTTAAATGTTTTAAGTTAGATTTATACCTTAAAACAGCTGTTCCAACAACTTTATTAAAAACATTGTATTGAAATATAATACTTAAGTTAAATAAGCAATGGCAATACTATTAGTATTAAGATGTTCTATTTTAGAATGACTTTCTAATGACACCTTCTTTTTCAATATATTCAAGTTAGAAAAGCTGATCTTTTCATGTGAGTTTTGAAAATAAGCATAGTCCTTGAAGCTAAATTAGTCCTTGAAGCTAAATCTTATGCACATACTTATACAGAAAGGAAGCAGTGAATGACAATAAAATAATAGCACGGGATTTCTTAGAGATATGCCGAGGCAGACAGACACCACATCTGCCTTCCAG